TTCTTGGTGATCATGTGCGAGTGTTTCTTCTCTTAAAATATGATAAGGATCATTTGTGTGCAACCTACGAAATGGGGAAGCAAATCAGGAAAAGTCATCCAACCACAGTGAACACGAAAATAATTGAACCACTAGAACTTCTACATATCGACCTTTTTGGACCTTCTGCAATTGAAAGTGTTGGTGGTACTAAGTTCAATCTCATCATAGTTGATGATTTTTCACATTTCACTTGGTTGTATTTTCTTAAACAGAAATCTGAAGCTACTCTGAAACTCAACGAATTCATAAAGCAAATTGAACTTCAACTGCAAAAGTTGGTTCGCAATGTTCGTAACAATAATGGCTTGGAATTCAATAATCAAGCATTTAACGAATTTCTAGCTAAAAGGGAGTTTCGTATAATTTCTCTACTCCCTACACTCCGCAATAGAATGGTGTAGTTGAAAGACAAAACCGTTCTTTGTGTGAAGCTGTAGGACTATGCTATCCTTCGCATGTATTCCTCTCTATTTCTGGGCGGATACAATTACAACTGCTTGCTATACTCAAAATCGATCCATTCTGAATAAGTGATTCTCCATTACTCCCTACAAATTAATAAATAATTGTAAACCTGATGTCAAGTTTTTCCATGTATTTGGTTCCAGGTGTTTCATTTTCAACTCCAAGGAACAACGAAACAAGTTCGATGTGAAAGTTGGCGAAGGTATATTGCTGGGGTATTCGTTGACCTCAAATGATATAGAGTTCTCAACAAACGATCAAAGAAGATGGAAGAAACCTACTATGTTATGTTTGATGATAACTACATCAAGAGGATTCAAACAAAGGTGAGTAAATTGGAGGAAATCTTTCCTAAGCCAAGTCCAGCCACTGTTCCATTCTCCATTCTCTATCATGAATGTATGCTTCTCTTTGATGAGCCAAAGAAGGCTATAACATCTGAAGCGAAAGCAGCTGACAACAAGGTTAATGAATTGAAGAAGATAATTAATGATGCTACAAAAGATATGGACCATTAGCCATCAACTATGCACGTACCTCAAAACACGAGCACTCTAGTCCAGAGGGAGAATTCGGACTCCAATGCAAATCTTCAGGAGGAGCAACCGACTCCACACGAAACGAACATTCCGTCCCAGGGGAGGATTATTTTTCGTCTCCTTCATCTGACCCAGATTACTCTCTGCCCACCATGAGTCACGAACCTCCATTCACAGTAGATACTTTAATTCCTGATGAAGAGGACCACTCGTCATTCAAGGGGGAGAATAAGGATGCGAACGATGATTTAGATGTTCAATCAGAATTCAAAGAAGTAAACATTGAATTGGATCCCTCTTATAATCCAAATCATCCTCCATTAGTCAAATGGACTAGAGATCACCCTAAAACCCAAGTCATTGTTGAATCTTCTACAAGTGTTCTTATGAGATCTCAGATAACAGCGAAACGAACTACATTATTCTCTAAAGTAGAATTTTGTATGTTCAATTCGTTCGTGTCCAAGATCAAACCTAAATCCGTCAACACTGATCTTGATCATTCTGATTGGGTGCAAGCGATGCAAGAGGAGCTCAATGAGTTCGAATGAAACAAAGTTTGGAGGTTAATTCCTAATCCACCTGAAGCATCAGTTGTTGGTTTGAAATGGTTGTTTTGTAATAATTTGGATAAAGAAGGGAATGTAATAAGAAACAAGGCCAGACTCGTGGTTAAGGGTTACTACTAGGAAGAGGGTATCGACTACGAAGAAACCTTCGCACCTGTTGCAAGGTTGGAATCAATTCATATATTCCTGACATACACAGCACATAAGAGCTTTGAAGTGTTTCACATGGATGTTAAATGCGCTTTCTAGAATGGTGAATTAGAATAAACTATATATTTTGAACAACCACATGGGTTTGTTAATGAGAAGTATCCCAATCACTACTACATTTTGGATAAGGTACTCTACGGACAGAAGCAAGCTCCGAGAGCATGGTACGAAACTCTTACCCATTTCCTTAAAATGTCAAAATTTAATCAAGGTTCAGTTGACCCAACCTTATTTGTAAGAAAGAGGGTGACCACTTAATGGTCATCCAAATTTATGTTGATGACATCATCTTCGGCTCTACTAATCCTAGCTTAACAGCTGAATTCTGAAAGTTGATGAAAACTAAATTTGAGATGAGCTCTATGGGTCTAATTAACTTTTTCCTTAGATTTAATATAAAACATGGACCAGAAGGCATTTTCATGAATCAGGAAGCATACACGAAGACCTTACTGACTAAGTTTTGCATGATGGGAGACTCCAAAGTGAAGCTTCCAATGACATTCGTAACGAAACTCACACCATCTCTAGAAAAACCACCTGAAGATATGACCCTTTATGGACAGATGATTGGTTCCTTGATGTATCTAACAGCTAGTAGACCGGATATCATGTTTTCTGTTTGTTATTGTGCAAGGTTCCAAGTAAATCCTCGGGAACCTCACATGGTGGCAGTCAAGAATATTTTCATATACCTAAAACGAACTTCATCTTTAGGCATATCGTATCCTGCAAATTCAGGTTTCTTTGTTCAAGCGTTTTCAAATGCTGACCTTGGGGAATGTGGTTTAGATAGAAAGAGCACAACTGGTGGATGCCAATTTCTCGATAGCAAATTAGTTAGTTGGCAGTCCATGAAGCAAACATACGTATCATTATCAATAGTTGAGGCTGAATACATAGTTCCAGCTTCGTGCACATCTCAGGTTATTTGGATTCAAAGTCAGCTTCGTGATTATGGCTTAAGTATGAAATGAATCCCTCTTTACTGTAACTCTGAAAGTGCAATTTGCATTTCTCATAACCCAGTGCAACACTCAAAGAAAAAACACATAGTACTGAGGTACAATTTCATCAAAGATCATGTCGAAGACTGCAATGTTAAAATTCATTTCATTAGATACTCAGATCAGTTGGCCGATATATTCACAAAGGGCTTACCTGTAACAACCTTCAATAGGATCCTCCAAGGCCTTGGAATGATGGAAGATGAATCTGTTCCAAAGCCACTATCGCACATATAATGTTTGACACTACGAATGAGTGCGAACGTTCGCAGTAGTTCGTAGCTCACTCTTCATTCATAGTCAACTTTAACATTTCAAATCGGGACGAGCGTTCGTAGTAGTTCGCAGTCTACCATTAATTCGTGGTTCAGATTTTTGAAATATCCTTTGTACTTTATGTATATTATTGCTTATCTTTATTTAGTTTTTTAATCTTTTTGTTTTTAATTCTTTTTCAGAAAATCACAAAAGACAAAAATATTTTATTTGTTATTGTTTTATTTATTTGTTTTTCGCAAAGTTCAAAACTCTCAAAAATACCTTAAAAGGATCTTCAAGGCACAGATTCGTATCAAATCTCAATTGATGTGAAAGGGCAGGTGTAACTCTCTTTATCTATGTACTAGCTAGGTGTCCCTAGAAGCATGTTGATGCATGTTGTCCGAAGCCTCAACAGACTCTATGTGAAGACTTAATGAATTGAATCTACCATTCGTTTCTTCCAAACTAGGTGGTCAAATTCACATTAGTCACGAGCTACCTTACTCTTCTCATCTTGAGTTAAGAGTTATCTGCTTGGTCATACTCGAATAGTAGAGGTACATTTACTTCTCTGAAACCACCATCACACTTCTATATTTTCCTTCATACTCATAAATATAACCCTTGAGACTTTCAGCTATACCACTGAGATTTATGATTACGAAACATCTGAGTTATTGATCTTTGCTTTGTTCACCACAAACTGAGTGAAACCCAAAATCCAACACACTTGCATGAATTGACGGTGAACAATTAAAAGTTATAGATTTTCACCAGAGAATTAATAAAAGCCGCCTTCGTGGTTTATACCAAGAAATCTCTTTTTTCTGTTTGCTCGATCGTTATGAAGTGTTCTTTCACCAAGTCACTTCTTCCCATAAGATCCAATTTTATTTTATTTTTATTTTATTTATTTATTTATTTTATATATATTTTTTTTGAGATTTCACACTTTCATCTGGTTACTAACATAACTCCAAACCAACTCATTTAACTAACTCCGCTGGTCACATGGGTACTTCATCCAACATTCGTCCTTATAGTGAGTTTGTTGTTTGGTTGGAGAGTCAGCCACCCTATGAGCCAAATTAAAAGATGGCTTTCAATGTTTCTTATCAAACATCTAATCGTATTTCAATGAGAAACCACTCAGGGACTTCTTAGACTCTCTTGACTTCGAAGGAAGAGATCTATGCCCGGGATCAACAATTTTGTGTATTTATATAGACATCACCAAATTTCCCAAATAAACATTGATTTATTTCTTTATCTTTGACACTCTTGCACGAAGGTCCTTATGATCTTCCGAAATTATGGTTCGTGGTTCTTAATGTCATTTTCAGGTTCGCATAGTAGCTCAAGTTTTCTAAAAACGAAGGTGCATAATAGATGCATAAAAGTGTCTTTTATTATGAAAGGTGGATGATGATGCATCAATTTCTGATGATAAGAATTCAAAAAGATGCGTGCAAAATTTGAACGGCCAGCTGTTTTCCACCGTATAACACACGGGTCTGACATCTATAGTTGTCAAGTCACGTTTTTTCAGGCGACGTTTCAGTACCCGATGTATTCACTCTCTGGATTTTCCTCACAAATCAAATGGTCTATACAGGTTTTGTCAAGAAGGAACCTAAGGGCAATGAAAATTTGATAGAAGACGCCCCCATAATTGGTAATGATGAAGACGAAGAGCCTGATGAAGTTGAACTTAAAAGGCGGAAGGCTCGTGATTCCGAGTCGAATGAAAACTAACGAATTATCCGAGAGGAAGAAGAAAAAGAAAGAGTTGAGAAAGAGGCTCAAGCCACACTTAAAAGCAAGCAGCTTTTGTTTCCTAAATGGACCATGAAGCGAATCTAGAATGATGCAATGATCTTCCTAGCTAGTATTGGTTAGATCTAATTATGTCTTTTGAACTTCAAAATATACAAGATTTGCTATTGGATCTACCCATCACTCTGAAGGCTTTTAAGTTATGTGCATTCTTGAAAGTTGCAAACGATCCTCTCTCAGAGAGCAGTGATGATCAAATGGTGTTCACGTTTTATCTAAAGCACATGAAACCTCAATACGAGATCCGGTCCCTAAGCAAGATCATTGGTGTGAAGGTAACTCGACCGATTGAGACTGATAGCTTTCCCAATGCCAAATTCAAGGTCGCAAGAGGTTCAACTAGTAAAGTCTACGAGTTCAGTCTTGCAGATTCACCATTTCTTAATCCGAACGACTAGTTCGTTCTTTACAACATGCTACTGAAAAAAGAAAAGGAGAAATACGAACTTGTAATGTCTCATCTCAAAATAATGATCAAGTCCTACATTGAAGAGATTGGAGAATTAGACGTAGAGGTTGCAGGTGTGTTGAGAAAGAAGCCTTCTACTGTTCTTAAGGAACCTCCAACAGATTTTAAGAAGCTGAAGCTGGGGAAGATCTATAGCAAGGGTAGGTATATGGTGTATCAAGCTAGGGAAAGGACTGGTGCAGACTTTCGCATGGGATGTTTCTTCTTGTCTAACAAACACTCGTACACTACTTCCTTCCTTGAGCATGTACTTGATATGGTGAAGAAGTTCAAGGGAAAATTTAAAGATAACATCAAATGCTTCACTGGTATGATTTTGTGGTACTTGCAAGTTCTTCAGACAATGTATGGCATCATTCCAAAGTTTATGAAGTTCAAAAACGAATTTAGGGTTATTGAGTTTAGGGTCCAATTGACGCAAAGGGGGGGGGGGATTGTTGCGTCATTTGGCTTGTCTATTCATCTCATTTTGTACATGGTATGGACATGTTCATCCGTATCTTTAATTAGGGGTAGAGTATTTAAGATGCATGCATGCATCGCCTTTTAGTTAATTCTATGATTTTACCTTGTAACCCTTGCATGCCTCTATAGTTTAAATTCTTTAACGATTTCATCTTAGGTGTGACATTTAATCATTCAACATTTGTTTGACTTTCATTGTGTTCTTTTATTACCTGTTAGAATCTAATTAATTTTGAAGGATTTTCATCCTAACAAATGTATTTAATCACATATTATTAAAATGGAAAAAGAACAATTATTTAATCGAGACATGAGAATGAATATTTTCCACATAAAAATCATATGACAGTGGATACATATAATAACATTTTATTATATATATCTAGTCATATACGATTTATATATACAAGATTCATATGTGATTAGATACATATATAATCGCATGTGATTAAATATAATTATTGTCTACATAAATCATATACGATTAGATACATATAATAACATATGATTAAATGTATCTAATTACATTAGAACAATTATTGAATAAAAAATATGAATATGATTATTGTGCACATAAATTATACGTGGATAATACTTATTTTATCACTTTTTATTTAATAGTTAGTTTCTCTTATTTAATCACGTGTCATGATAATCACAAATGATTTATGTGGAAATTTTTTTTTTTTCACGTTCTTGATTTAATATACATTATGATATATATAATCACATATGATTATATATCAAATCACGTATGATTTATATAGACAATATTTCTTTCACGTTTTCGAGTTTATAATTTTTATCATGTATTTAATTATTCGTGATCATTTGTATTTAACCACATATGGTTAATATCGATAAATATATGTTTTCGTATTCTTAATTCAATATTTGTTATCGTGTATATACTCACACGTGATTATATGTATTGAATCACATATATATATATATATATATATATATATATATATATATATATATATATATATATATGCACAAGATTCAACTTTTTCTATATAAATCATACGTGATTAGATACATATAATCACATGTGATTACATTTATTTAGTCACATATAAATTATGTTGACAATAATCACTTTCTGGCTTTCAGCTCAATAGTTGGTCTCGTACGTTTGATCATATGTGAATATATCTATTTAATCAAATATGATTTATGAGGAAAAAATGAATTTTTTATGTATAGTCACATATGATTAAATACACGTGAAAAATTATTGAATCGAAAATGTGAATTTTAATTTTGTCAATATAAATCATATGTGATAAGAATCTTTTCTACATAAATCACATGTGATTAAATACACATGATCAACTATTAAATCTAAAATGGGAAAATGAATCTTGTCCACATAAATCAATTGTAATTAGATACATATAATTAAATGTGATTATATGTATTTAATCACATATGATTTATGTAGACAATATCTTTTTTACGTTTTCAATTCAATAGTTAGTCACGTGTATATAATCACATATGATTTATGTGGAAAAAAGATTTGTTTTCGTGTTTTTTGATTCAAAAGTTGTTCTCATGTATATAATCGTATGTGATTATATTTATTTAATCACATATGATTTATGTGCACAAGATTTATTTTCGTGTTCTCGATTTAGTAGTTGTGCTTGTGTATTTAATCACATTTAATTACATTTGTAAAATCACGTATGATTTATATGCATCATATTGTTGTTCTCGTGTATTTGATCATATGTGATCATATGTATTTAATCAAATATAAATAATGTGCACAAAGAAAAACTACTGCATCGAGAACGCGAAAATGAATCATATGAACATAAATAATAAGTGATTAAATACATGAGAACAACTATTTAATCGATAATGCAGAAACTAATTTCGTCCATATAAATAATATGTGATTAGATACATATAATCACATGTCACATTTGATTATATATATATATATATATATATATATATATATATATATATATATATATTATATATATATATATATATATATAATCACATATGATTGATATGGAAAAGATTTGTTTTCGTGTTTCTCGATTCAATATTGGTTCTCGTATATATAATCACATGTAATTATATGTATCTAATCACATATGATTTGTATGAATAGGATTCTTTTTTAAGTTTTCGATTCAATAATGTTTCCTATGTATTTAATCATATGGGATTATATGTATTTAATAACATCTGATTAATGTGGGAAGAACAACTATGAAATAATCATAGGGAATTATATGTATCTAATTACATATGATTTATGTGAAAAAAAAATTACATTTTCAATTCAATAATTTTTCTTATGTATTTAAACATATGTCATTATACATATTTACTAACATATGATTAGTGTGGGCAAGAACAACTATGAATTGAGAACGTAAAAAAGAATCATGTTCACATAAATCATATTTAATCATGTCCATATAAATCATATGTTATTAAGCACATATAATCGCATCAAATAAAGGAGAACAATTATTGAATCGGGAACATAATAATGAATCTTGTCTCATATGTGATTCAATAGTTCTTCTCATTTATTTAAATACATAAAATCACATACATCATATATGATATATGTATTTAATCACATAAACCATATGTCATTTAATACATATAATCACATATAAATATGTATTTATTCACATATGATTTATGTGGAGAATATTTATTTTCATGTTTTCGATTGAATAAATCGTATCGTGTATTTAATCACATGTGACTATATGTATTTAATCGCATATGGTTTATGTAGACAATATTCGTTTTAACGTTCTTTATTGAATAGTTATTCTTATGTATTTATCAAATATGATTATTTTTATTTAATTTCATATGATTTATGTGGAAAATATTGGTTTTCACTTTCTTGGTTCAATAGTTGTTCTCTTGTATAAAATCACATGTGGTTATATATATATATATATATATATATATATATATATATATATATATATATATATATATATATATATATATATGTGTGTGTGTGTGTGTATGTGTGTGTGTGTATAATTATAAATAATTTATATAGGAACTATACATTTCTGCGTTATCGATTCATTAACGCTTCTCATGTATTTAATGGCATGTGCTCATAAGTATTTAATTAATCAAGTATTATTCAATACTTCATATATATACCTCAATTCAATAGTTGTTCTTTGTCCACTTTAATCTTACGTGATTTAATACATTTAATCAAATGTGGTTATATATATCTAATGACATATGATTTATATGGAAAAAACAAATATTTTCTATAAAAATTATATGTGATTAAATTTATATACTTATATGTGATTTTATGTATCCAATTACATATGACTTAATCACATAAATTAATTGTGATTTAATAACATTTGATTTAATAGTTGTTCTCGTGTATTTAATCACATACGATTTAAAACACGAGAAAAATTTATTGAATCGAGAATATATATAAAAACAATTCTTGGGTAATAGGTGATAGTGGTGGGCGGTGGTGGGTGGTGGTGGTGGGTGGTGGGTTAAATCACATGTGATTATGTGTACTTAATCACATATGATTTATTTGGAAAATGTTTGTTTTCACGTTCTTGATTTAATACTCGTTCTCATGTATACAATCACATGTGATTATATGTATCTAATCACACATGATTCAATAATTTTTATCGTGTATTTAAGTAAATGATATTATATTTATTTAATCACATATGATTAACGGGGACAAAGAAAAATTATTTAATCGTGAATGCTAAATCGAAACTTGTGTACATAAATCATATGTGATTAAATATGTATAATCACATTAAATTAAATACACAAGAAAAATTATTGAATAAAGAATGTGAAAACGAAGCTTGTCTATATAAATAATATGTGATTAAATACATATAACCACGTGTAATTAGATACATATATACACAAAATTCATTTTTGTGTTGTCGATCCAATAAATTTTGTCATGTATTTATTCATATGTGATTATGTGTATTTAATCACATGATCGTATGGCCCATTGCTTTTAAGTTAATAAATTTAAGCTTATAACCAAGCCCACGAAATAATCCAATCTTAATATTAAGAGACCACTACCACATTTAAGGTCTAGTTGCATATTAACCTTGTTATGAAGTCAAAACAATATAAAATAAGGTACTCATTCCAAACATGTAGTGTTGTTTCTCTGACCTGATTGTGGCTTCCGGCGAACCATTTACTTATCCCATCTAGAAATAAGCTTATTGATTCTTTGTTAGATTGCTATAAATGCTTGCTTATTCCATTTGTAAACATTATCATTTACATATGAAAGAAGAATACCAATTGCAAAGTCAACAAGCTTCGTTGCAACTACAATATCTAAACCACTAGACGATCCATTTGGAGCATAAGATAGCATTGTCGGATTTGTCGGGGTTCCATAATGTGAATTTTCTCCAGTTTCCTTGAAACCATAGTCCATAATTCACTTTCAAGCTCAATTATTCTAGTAAATATTCTTTTCTTTTTATTTATTTATTTAAAAAGGTTAAGGTGTTGAAAATACCCAACTAAGTAGTTGTAAAGAGCATGTTTACATCAGACAAAAAAAGGGGGTGATTTAACACATAAACCATATAGCACATCAACATATTTCTCCAATCAACCACTAAAGAAGTTATCTTTAAGCTTATTAAAAGTAGATGAAGTTTACATTGAATTTAGGGAAGTTTAATTTAACAATTTCATATCTAATTACCTTGCAATGATTAGTTGTACTAGTTCTAAGATGAACAGAAGCTTTTAGACTGAAAGAAAGCAAAGTCATCTGAACATGCTACATTCAGAATTAAGGTTCATTAAGCTGGATGGAATATAATCACAAAGGAATGGCATCAACCACTCATTTCCTTCCCCGATTCTATCTATTACCTACCGTCAACTCAAATTTAGCCATTGC